AAGAGAAAGAGGGAGTTACTTGTAATTTAGTTGTGCAGCAATATTTTAGTTAAAATTCAGAAACCAAATGCTTACTGCAGAAAGATCAAATTATGATATTCGGGGTTTGTAAGATGTATATAGTACTTCTCTTTAAGTGTCGAGATTCATCCAACTGATATTTATAAGGAAGAAGAAGTTTGCACAGATGAATTTTTAATTGACGTCATCTTCACAATCACCGGGAATTTATAAAAACATACAGGAAGTGACATCATCCACTGATAAAATTGATGAAAACACAGGTAGGAATACAGGTGTTCAGTTCCTGGTCAGATCTGAGTTTAAAACTTAAAAATAACCTGCACCTAGCATATATAACACTTATATATATCATGTTTGAATTATTTGATTATGTGTAGTTCATATGTTCTATTAGAATTGCTAAAAGCATTGCTTTCCTGTCTAAACTTTATCCTCTATTATAATAGTTCATCTACTATTTTGTCTGCTGTTACAGCTAAATTAAAGTATGTCCGCCTTTTAATCTTTACAGTTTATGAAAGGACTTATTTTCTGTCCATTGCCATTTCACAATTTGGGGATATTGCTTTCAGTGCGTTACATCCATTTCAAATCGATTTCTCCACAATAAATCTCCTAAATATGACAGATTTCGGCCAAACTGGGACAACAGATTATACAAACAATAAATTGCGGATAACTTTGAAGATGGATGCAGTTATTGTAGCCGATTCCCCTTTCCATTTATCCCTAAATCTGATTCAGTGTCAAATTCCGATTTGCTTTCTGGAATGTTTTAATTAGCTGGCATGATTTTTAAACTTTGTATTTCACATCATAAAGGGTTGATTTCAAACTCAGCATCATATGGTTTAGCCACCCCACCCCCAACCTCCATCGCCAGAGTTTGATAAAAAAAAATCTCCATTTTCATTTATCATTTTTATCTGCATTTAGGAGTCCACTGTCGGGTTCAGATTTTTTTATTTTAATTTAATTTGAGAACACGAACAGCACACAGGTTACAATATTTGAAAAATCCTGGATCATGGTCTGATGTTTATCAATTTCTCTTTGTTTTGAAATCTTTAGTTTCATATCTACAATGATATAAAATTTGTTATTCCTTCATACAATGGAACCTGTCTTATCTGACACCATGTGGGATACCACATATTGGTTGGATTAGACAGGATGTTTGAATAAAAAAGTTCTCTTTGGTAGTTCTCATAAGATATTGGATTTCAACATGATGTTTAATTGGATAGGGTGTCAGACTATTTAGGGGTAAAAAAAGACAGGTTTTGATGAATTTCAAATTAGTTTTTATTTCCTGGTGCAGTACGTGTCCCCAAAGGAAAGAAACCTGCTAAGCTATGATCTTCTTCGAAGACAAGTCCGACACAGCAAGGGGGAAGTAGCGTTTAATCATCATTTTGAAATCGAAAGAAGAAGACCATGCAAACATATGTCCTCAAAATGCGATTGGAACACTTCAATTTTAAAAACGGTTGTAAATCTGGACCCATGCTGTCACTATCTTTCCATTTTTGCTCTCATCTTGAAGCTCTTTTCTCTCCTGCCATTGTTCTCCTATATCAAAATGCTGCTATCACCCAGATCAGGCAAAGCTTTTCACACAATGTGCCTGCATTATCGGTGTCTAAAACAGCTCAAGTTAATAGACGAAAATCCATTATTCCAAAGTAACGTGTTATATTACTGAAGTTAAACAGATTAAACGCTCAACATAAATTTATCAGTGTTTCCAAATCTTCAGATTTTTCAAATATCAGATAAATTGGTAAACCTCCAGTTTTATATTTTAAGAGTCTCCTCTGGTCTGTTTGAGTATTACTGCTGATAAGGAAATAATCATGGGATCTGTCAGGGCTCCCTTGTTACTTTGGGAGACAAATCTGTCCCTGTCCACGGGCTTGTGTGATTATTAAAAGGTGTCATGTGATGGGTTACCGACTCCTTTTAATGTGCACATCCCGTTAACATCGAGATCGGTGATAGATTGTCGAGACCCTCCGTAAACAATAGAAGCACCGCTACTCGGGATAAGTGTGAACATTTTTGTGCTCTGACAGGGGTTCCATTTCAGTTAGTCATCTTGAAATCAGAATCTGTTTCTGTTGTCAAAAAGGAAAAAAAAATATTCGCAAGCTCTATAACGGTTTGTAAAGTTTATTGGTCTTTTGTGATGAGAAAATTGCTGTTTTTCGTGATGTTCTCCGATTTCTTTTGTTTCGCTCGATGTTTGTAAGACAACACGCTGGATCATTGTAGATTGTCACCGATATTGATTGTAGCCGTTTTATCCAGTTCATCACGGCATACAAACTGTAACGGGGTTTGTGGTTACGCTTCCTGGATTTATCAGATCTACCCAGACTATACACCCGGGGTGTCAGTAGAGGTGCTACCTTGGGTGACATACCAGTACACAGACTAAGGACAGACCGTTCAGGTGTGACGATTAATTCGGGGCGATAACACTTCCTTTGTTTGTGAATTTGAGACAAACCGTATGATCTGTTGGTGTTTAGGACTGTTTGACTATTCAGTGTTTACCGAGGTTTAGAGTTAAGTGTTGTGATGAAGAAACAAGAAGCGTACACCCAGGAGGAGTGCTAGTTTAAGTGGATATTTTTACCTCATTTTTGTAGGTAAGAGACAAAATATGTAATCTGTAAAGTCAGACTCTTCATATTTCACAGGAGTTCTTTAAATTTGATGACAAAACTTTTTGGACAAGGGAAATGAATCTCGCTCTGTCAGCCAATGTCTATAACACTGATATGTTAGTAATAATTAAAGTAACAAAATATAATACAAAACTATCATTAGTATTTATAAATAAATAAAAAATAAAAAATCTTCAATAAAGGCATTTCTTTATAAAATTATTTCAAATCTTCTCTAAAAAGATGACCTAATAAGTTCTTAGCGGAAATCAAGTTTGAAATCTCTTAATTAAAGTGCTAGATGAAAAATATTTCATAATATATAAATGTGATATGACTTGAAATGGTAAATTAATAATATAATCTGACAGTTGCATTTGTAGATTTATTGTATTTGTATGAAGTATTGATTATTTCATTTGTGTTTTGTGTATTGATAATATGATATGTTACAGATGTTTATAGGCCTAACGCTAAATGATTTCTCAACAACGCTAACGCTAAATAATTTCTCTCGAAAAACAGTTTATAGTATGTTAAGCCCGTATGATATGATGATTTTCTTTCTCACAGACAGTAACCATTAATGGAAGCTTATAGCTGCTCAAAGTAGCTAATCATGTTGCTTTAATTGAATTGCCTTGAATTTTGGCATTATAAAGGGGTCTGGCAATAAATGGATGGAAATGTATAAAGGTATTCTTAAGAAAAAAAGGGACCTTGAATACTGTTGGCAGTACAGTGCATGAGGTGGCATATGGAACAAGGGGCATTATATTGAGGTTTCACTGGACATATCAACTGTATCCTATTGGTAGGATAATAGGTTAGCTAGGCATAATAATATAAGTCGTCTTCTTTCTTAAATGTTATTGCTCTACATACTCAGCATAGAGAAGCATTACATACATATGTGATAGATTTCTTGTACCTACAGTAGAATATTAGTACCAGATTAACAGTACTGTGTTACCAGGTTTTCTTTACGGACACATTATCTACATGTATACTGTATTAATTTAGTTAACTCATTCACCCCTACATATTTAAACTGGACTTGCCCAGTCTCTGTTTTGGTAAGGTTCACATGTGACTTTAGGGGGTAAATTAATGGGTTAAGGGGTATGTATGCTTGTTGTATTTCTCGTATGTATACAGTTACATCTTGAATAATATGTGTGATTTAACATCTCTTGTATATGATTCAATTATACATAAGGGTGAGAGAAAATAATTTTGAGAATTAGTGATCAAATTTAGTAAATACGCTGTCTTACATGTAAATGATATAATGATTTGTTATAAAATTAATGTCTTATTGTACTGTATTTGAGTAGAAATATCATCTGAGATTATTTAAGATATTTTACCTGGGAGTATATATATATATATAGAAATGATGTTAGGAATTGAGATGTTTTTTCCTGAAAGCTGAAATGATGTTAAGATTTGACGTATCTTAATACCTGGAATAAGAAATGATTTCAGAGATTTGAGATATTTTACCTGGAAGTAGAAACGATATTGAGATTTAAGATGTTTTGACTTGAAATAAAACTGATGCTGAAAATTTGAGAGATTTTACCTTGAAGTAGAAATGGTATGAGAGTTTTAAGATGCTTATAAACCTAAAAGTGTAGATCTAGACCAGATGTCTAAATGTTTTACCTGTTAGTAAAAAAGTAAATTAGGTTTGTCAAACAGATTCTTGTGTAAGTAGGTTGTACGGATGAGAGATCCTCTATCGACAGGCGACTGAAGACAGCGCCCCCTGGTGTGTAACATTGTTGGATGTTTGTAACCTAAACAGCGGTCAGTGGGGAGAAAGACTAATGGACTGACCGTATAAACAAGCAAATAACATGTAACATCATTGCGTAGATTATCTGTAATGTAACACTAACTTCCACTATGGGTTTAGTCGGTGGGTTACATCACGATGGCGAGGATACCGCACTCATCGTATAGTCTAGCAATTACATACATTTACTGGGGGATATAGATATATTAGGATATCGGGAGGGTCACAGTCCACCGACTCCAATTTCCAACATCAAGCTTCAAAACATTTAGACCTACAATTGCATGTTCACAATAATTCTTTAAAACCCTCAGATCTTAACATCGGGAAAAGTCCTTGAAGTCATATGCAGCTTGTAACTTGGGAATTTGAAGACAGATTCTTTGAAGTTCAGTGTATCATGAAAACCAAGGTTAAGCGCAGAACTTCATTTCCAGTTATTCGAGTGTATGAGATGTATCATCGTATGACACATGGCGCTATATGATTGTTCCATGTTACAGGGCCGAGGGCTAGCCATATTATTGATGGAGGTATACCTACGAGGGTAGAGATCAGACATCCAGCTCCAGACAGTCTGGACCTATCATCAAACAGATTGGACATAACTGGACAATTCCACCAGGTCACTCACCGTCCTGGGAAGACCTACATATATATATAAAAATCTGGATCTACAATATTACGTCTCCCTATACGGAAAAAACCAACGCAATTTTGATTTGGCATAATAGCTCTTCATACAGACCAATATTGGAGTATTTCCTGAGGAGACAACTTCGCCGGAACTTTCGGTGCCAATTTTCCTGTTGTTGTAAGTTGAGTTTTGTGTATCTTTCAATGTCATTATACATCATATGAGATTCTTGAGAAAACTGATCTTTACGAAAACGTCATATAAAATCTTATTTGTACAAGCGAATGTTAATCGAGGAAAAACTCCATGATAGTAATTTTTATAAAGAATTCTCTTTGTATTTGTACAACAACTTTACTGTTATTGAAAATTCATTTTAACTTGGACGGTTTTCTAGTTAAACCCTTATAGACAAGTTCTAAAAATATTTGTGTGTTTAAAATGACTTGCTTAAAAATGTTCAGCCCGTTATTTCTTAAAGTAGAATAAATGGTACGACAAAAGTCACAGAAAGACAATATATGTGGGAGATAAACCTTTATTACGAGACAGTTACATTTAGACGTAAAAGATCATGACATCCTGACTTTCAACAATGTTTTTATTTTATTATGTCTCTATGGAGCTTCTTATCGGCGTATAAGTGAAACTTAAAGTTTCAGTTTATTGGAGAGGGTCGAACAAAATTCTGTTTTAAAAGGAAAACCCACCATATGTTTGAGCTTCATAATTGGTATTGACTCAACATGCCCTCTGAGGTTTGAGACCTGTGAAATTGTTATCTAACAAAACTCTACCGCAAAGCAAACCGGGAAAATATGTATTTCAGTTCAGAAAGTACAAACAGCTATTATCTTAGACAAATGTGTGTTTCGCAGGAAAACATCCAATCTATTGACCAAGGGTTCTAATTATTGTCAGTCTGTGACCCAGAAACAACTCTGAAGAGTCTGTTACCTTGCTAGAAACATTCCTCTTTCTTAATAATATAGTAACATATATAGTAACAATCCAAAGTCTGTTACTTTAAGTAACATTTCTTAGTCTGTTACATTGTTCCTATAGTAACAATTATCAGACAGTAACCTATGGTAACAGTTCAGTCTGTCACCTATAGTAACAATTCTCAGTCAGTTACTTATAGTAACAATTCTCAGTCAGTTACTTATAGTAACAATTCTCATTGTGTTACCTAAAGTAACAATTCTCAGTGTGCTACCTATAGTAACAATTCTTAGTCTGTAACTTAAAGTAATAATTCTTCTCAGTTTATAGTTTATAGAAACAATATTTTCGATTCCTGTAGTAACATTTCCCAGTCTTTAACCTATATAGTAACAATCCAAAGTCTGTTACCTATAGTAACAATTTTCAGTCAGTAATCTGTAGTAACAATTCAGTCTGTCACCTATAGTAACAATTATCAGTGTGTTACCTATAGTAACAATTCTCAGTGTGTTACCTACATTATGTGTATAGTAACAGTTCTTATTGTGTTACCTAAAGTAACAATTCTCAGTGTGTTACCTATAGTAACAATTCTCATCAGTGTGCTACCTATAGTAAGAATAATAGTCTGTAACTTATAGTAACAATCCTGTCTAACATAATTATATACTAGTTATAATTCTCAGTGTGTTTCCTTTAGCAATAATACTAATAGTCTGTTATCTATCAAAACTATACTTAGTATGTAACCTATACTAAAAATACTTAGTATGTAACTAATATAGTAACAATTCTCAGTCTGTAACTTACAGTAACATGTACAATTCTCATTGTGTTACCTATAGTAACAGTTCTCATTGTGTTACCTATAGTAACAGTTCTTTTAAGTAACACTTCTGTCTGTAACTTAGTAACAGCAAGTTCTCTGACACAGTCAGTTACCTTCATCATCTGTACCAATAGAAATGCTTATCAGACTCGCGCTCACGATTCAGTTGTGGCATTAGGCCTTCATTAGCATTAAGGAGACAAAAAGTCAGACGTTTTAATTACATTTAATAGTTTACAAAAATAGCATCATTAACACAATTACAGTCCGTTGACAATTGTTTCGAATCCCAGAATTGTGCCAGCTCTGCCTTCAACTCGGATACTACACAGAAAATACTGTTCCAGATTCTGAGTTACCGTAGTGTATTTAAATGTTATCGATCATGCCTCCTGGATAAAACAGATCCCCGGGTAGATAGTGATTCTACCGTGTCCTGATCAGGGTCCAAACCAAATTTAGATCACTCTTACCACATCCCCTTGGGAGTCCCTTACCAACATTCAGCTTCTGATAATACAGTCAAATCTGATTTCGTCAAAGTCACTGGGACCATGGATGTAGTTCCATATCTCCGAATTCAAATACCTGACAATACACTCCTGTGAGATCAGTAATCAACTTCTGTGATAAATGTGAATATTCAAACTGCATCTGGATTTATCACAACAAGGTTTTTTCCTTGAGAGCAATTATCTAAGTTCTGCTACCTTACTGCTATATATTTGCACAGTAAAATCATGTTTTACTGCCACCATTGGTTCAATCACATATTGGCAATATAAAAAGTTTGGCAATATATCAAGGGGAGCATATATAAACGCATCTTTTAAATATAAAATGTTAGCAGTAAGTTTACAAGGTGGCAAATGAAACTTAAGGGGTCTTATATCGAGGCTTTAATGTATCTCCTTTCATTGAAGAGTTCCACTACAAGATGAATGGTATTTTTTGACTCGGCTAATTGGTTGATGATGCACTTCAATAATACTTAAGTTTGTATGTATTGATAACGATCTGATAAATTTGATAGCTAATTTTCAAAAATCAAAAAAGAGATATCAAACTCACAAGGTCTTCAGTATATCGAGTTAAAACAATTCATTTCCCAATAGTTGTTTAATAGTTCAGTAGTTAATATTATAATCTTTCAGTGCTCATTACAAACTTTTCTTTCTTAAGAGTCGATCAAACTTTGTAAGAATGTTTGCTATAACCACAACGCATAAAAAGGAATACAAGTCAAATAACGTTGTAATATGTTTTAAATTTAGAACCATGAATTCTGATGCTAATTAAACTCTTTAGCATTTACCAGTAATCATGACTTTGTTGTGTAAAGCCTTGTCAACCTATGCACATTAATCATAGTAAATTTTGAATCAAAGAAATTTCCACAAGAATTAAAACTGAAAACAAAAATGTATGTATCTGAGAATTCAAAATACCCCCTGAGTAATCATTTTCAGAAGATGTACACAGAAAAAATTGTATTTCTGCATGGAAATTTAAACAAAGTTGAATTACAGTACATTAAGCTAATGAAACTTTATACAACTTAATCCTGAATTTCTACTTAAATATTACGAGCTTCCGAAAGGTGAAAAGTTCATTTTTGATGCAGGATTTTAGTATCCACAAAATGACGCATGTCAAATTAAAAGGTAGGCTGATTCATATTACAGCTTATAATAGTTTAGTACTGAAAATTCGAAAAATTAAACTTTCAACATTTACAAAAAGATCATTAAGTTTCAAGTTAAATGCAAAATATCGATACAAATTGGATTTGGAAACTATAAAAGCTCTGAGCTATGACTTTCCTGGGACCCTTCAAGGTCATCGTGACATTTCTGATAATACGGAAAATCTTTAAACCTCCGTTATTGGTTTTTGTGTAAATGTTTATTTTGCTCAAATGAGAATTTCAATCTTTTTTATTAGCCAGGCCATAACACAAAGCACAAAAACAAAACAACACATTCTGAGGGTCAACCGAGAGAAACATTTATAACTATGTTTTATATTTCTTATATTTAAGCAAAATCATAAATATTATGGCCTCCTTCCTGTGGAGAATTGTTAATTTTAAGTGCCACATTATATTTTGGCCTCATAATAAGAATATCTATAAATATGCGGCATGCATTGTGGATACAAATTTGTTGAGGGGGTTGTTTGTTTGTTTGTGGGGCGGTGGTGGTGGTTTGTTTTTGTTGTTGTGTCTGTTATATGAACATAAAAGCATCCAAATCAATCAAGGCTAACTTTATGGTGTGAAGGGCCCCGGGTTGGAACAATTTCCAAACTAGACCTGGAACACATTAGTGATGGGTTATTTGGTTATTTCAGCAACATTTTTACTTAAATGAATCATGCAATTTGTCGAGTGAATTTCCCCCACAGTGTTTTGCTATTTTATAAAAAGTAATTGTGCAATTTGCTGCACAGTGCATTTTTATCTTTTACAAATTCATAAAGAATTCACAAGTTTTTGGACCTGATAGAAATATGTTCTAGAAATATTCTTACTGGAACTGGAAGCATTCTTCTGAAAAATCAATGCTAGAATGGCAGTAACATTAGAAATTGAATCTCTTCAGAAACATTAATCATGAAACGATTGTGAGATGGTCACACATCAGCAGTGAATACATGTAGGATTGTATTTTCAGGACGTCATTGGAAAGTTTATGAGTCTCAAGTCAGAAACTGAACACTCCCTGACATTTGTTTACAGTCTGAAACTGAGCCCTCCCTGTCACATCTTTTCGGTTCACGTTACTCTTTATCAGTAAAATGTCCCAAAAAAATTGTCAGTATTGATTGATTAATAGGAAAAAAGTATTATGCTGGTTTTTTTCTCTAAAATTTCTTTATGATTCTGAAGTTTATTCTTCAAGCATCTAAAGCCCATGGCAATCTAATTAAAATGAAAGCCAGTTATCCCCAAAATTTAACCATATTTTGTGATAACATTGTTGCCTGGTTGAATCATTTGAGCGAAAAAGTAAATTAATGGTTACGTTAATGCTCAAATGATGGGTATCCCAATCAGGGTGATCCAATTTAATGCCATATAGAATTTGACATTACTAACAATAATAAAACTAGCATAATGTAGTTGTAATGATAAACCTCGACGACTGTCGCTTCTCAATTTCTACACACGACATTTGGCCGGTACCCATCAAATAAAAAAGCTCCCATCATTGAAAAATATTTGCACAACATTTCAGGCAATGCGAATGATTCCCATATTGATGTTATGTAAATGTGCTACTTCGCCCAGGAGCTCGAACTGAAGGAGCATTTCAACACGAGCTGGGCCGCTGGGGGAGTTTGAGAAATAGAGAATTGAATTAGAAATGTCCTGGGGAGTTTATTAGGAATTTATAGG